TGCGGCTGTTATACTTGCTTGTTTAGCAGGATTGCTATAAATAAGGATCCACAAATCTGAAACACAAGCAATACCTAACATTACTTACATGAATTTTCTGAATGAAGTCCATGGATGTAACTCAAATTCATCTTATAATCCAGCGCTTCTGTCTGCTAAAAATGGGACACATATCCCGGTGATGGTGATGTCAGTACTCAGTCTGTGTTTGATTGGTTTATTCAAATGGACAACATGCCTTGACTGACAAATAGTGGCACACCCTTTACTGTGTCAATACATTTAAAAAAATTCTCTGGGTGTTTAGAAGGAGAAGGTTAAGTGTGTGATGATCAGACTGCAGTGGCATGTTAAGTGTTGGCACTCGATTGCAACTAGTCCTGTTTTTTACTGATCACCTGACAAAATATAAGACAAAATGCTTGTTGAAAATATTGTAAATATTAAAAGTATTTTGTCATATTGTCTTAATATTCTATAATATATTCCTTCTGACTTATTTAGTTTTGCAGGTTTGTTGTTTAAAACCTATGTTGGCTTCATTTCTGCTGGATTTGATGGCGCATCCACCTGTGTGATGATTTTTGCAGTGTCCAAAAACATGAAATTGGGTCCCCTGAGAAAAAAAACTATGGAAATATTCACAGCAGCAAGAAAGCAAATACCTCTCCAATCCCAAACCCCCCCTACTTTCACTCTCCAAGTTTATACTAAGCAACGCTGAAATCCTTCACTAACAAGTAGAAATTCAGCTTTTGAAATTCTGGTTGAATGTCAAAACATTTTTGAGGTGCCACATAAGACACTCCAGCATCAAAAGGAGCCAAGAGGCCTGTCATCTCACACACACACACACACACACACACACACACACACACACACAAAGAGCTTCCTCTCAGCCTCAGTGTGCCTGTATCTCTAAAGAGTTGACCTCACAAGTGAGCACGCTGCATCACTGTGAGAACTGGTGTTTCTGGGCGGTGCAAAGTAGAGGAGAGCACATCAGTGCAGGATATCTGAGCACAGCAGAGCACAGAGAGGCAGGCACATCCGCTGCTGGAGGGATCAAATCTGTACCATCTGACGCCAAGGATTTATAGGTTTAGTCAAAATTGCTTTTCCCACAGTGGAGATTAAGCACCATAGCATGTTTTCCACTCAGGCTGTAGAATAGCCCAGTAGCTTCTGCTGTTGCTGTTGCTGTTTTTCTCCCTCTTATCGGCTCCAGTGCTGGAGAAGGGAATGTGTCAGGAAGGCAGAGTGCTGCAAACCCTGGAGAGGAATAGACCGTGACTGACAGGAGAGGTCCGTCCTCTGGGGAATGTGAATCATGCAGGTGGACGCTGTTATTGTGCTCTTCTGTGTTTGGCTCGCGGGCGCAGCTGGGAAGATAGCCCAGCCGAAGGGTCTTAAGCTGGAGACCTACAAACAAAGCAGGTAATGTTTTAGTAGTCACGGACGCATCACCAGGATGTATGACAGTTTGCCTGAAGCTTTTAGTTCAAAAACTGGAAACGATATGAACACTCCTTTTCTCAAAAGGACTTCATTATGTTCTATAAATGTTTTTTTTTTAGGTTTACATGATGTTGTCAGATGTTTCCTGTGTCACCTGTGCTCTCCCCCCCCCCCATCTGAAAACACATTTACCCAGACAGCAGATTGGAGGGAGGGAGACCTAAATCCCCACATCTATTTATGTACTGCTGATGAATGCTATGTCCTCTTGCCCCACAACTGCTGCAGGCCAGTTACTGGCTGTTTTTTTCTCCAGCAGTGGTTGTACTCTATATCATTCTCAGGTGATTATTTGGGCTAATTGCTGCCTTCTTAGTGCATCCATTGAATTAGATGTCTTTGTCAGGACTGAACTATATCAGGGAATCACCTAAGGATCCTCAGCTCTTAATATTATAGATTGAATCAGGTCTGACATTAGAACTGATGTACATATATACTGTATAGGGGATTGTATTTGTTAATAAAAGTAATAACAATAACAGTTAATAACAACTGTTATTTCAGTCTTTTTGACCTACATTAGAAATGCTGACTTTGCTGTTGATATTCATAATTGATGAACATTTTAATGGCTTGCTTAAAATTTGACACATTTTAAAGAATAAAAGCACTTCAGTAGATTTAGTATCTTTTGTGTAGAAATTGTGGGACCACTTAAATTTGTCTAATTGCTGACCTGAAAACCCGAATATTTGAATACCTTGCATAACTGACAGAGAAATATTTTGAATGATTCCATTCTGATGTGAGTAAAGCAGGACTGCACATGATGATTCTTTTCACTATGGGTTCATCTGTCATGTAGTTTCACAATTAACTGTTTAGTTTATAAAATGTCAGCAAAAACTGTCCATCACAAGTTCCCAGAGCCACTGGTGAAATAAATGTCTTGCTGATATTCTTGTTGATATTCAGTTTAGTATTATATAAAACAAAGAAAACCAGAAAGTATTCACATTTAAGAAGCTTATCCCAGTGGATATTTCCCCATGTTTACATAAAAATGACTTTTAAAAATTGATGATCAAAATAGTTCCAATGGCTTTACTCCTGAATGACTTATTAACTGTTTCAGCTCTGGATGTTTTATCACTTCTCTGTAGGGCACGGGGCAGTAGAGGTGCAGCCCGACATTCAGGCATTGAAAGAATGTGTACATCATTTGGTCTATTTAATATCAGTACTGAAAAATGCACATTAAGCTGATGTATTGAAATTGTTTGCTTTTCCAACCAACAGTTCTAAACCACAGAATATTCAATCAACTATCACATAAAACAAATAACAGTAAGGAATTTTCCCATTTGCGAAGCTACAGCTATAAGCAGTGTTTGGCATTTTGCTTGAAAAATGTCTTAAATCAGAGGTTTTCAACCAGTGGCCCCCTGGTAATCTGTGAAAGATGCAGGTGGCCCCGATCATGTATTCAATGATGTAGTTTCACTGTAGAAATCTTTTATTTTTAGCTCCTGTCCATGTATCACTTATTGTTTGTGAATAATCAAATTCATGCAAATATATACAATTTAGAAAACCCAGGGTGACCTTCAGGATTAAAATAGCGCCCATCCGGCATATCCACCCCACAACAGTGGCCCTCGCCTTACTTCTTATTCAGAAAACCAGTCCCTGGGTCACAATTTGTTGAAACCCCCTGTCTTGGATTACTAATTGTTTAATCAGAATGGCTAGGGTTTAATTCTAACTGTTGGGTAAATGGTTATTCAACTAACTGTTCCACCTCTAGTCCAAAGTTAATGTAACACCAGCTCTACAAAACAATGTTCTTTTGTAGATATATAGCCACAGAGTTCAGCTGCAGTCTGTGAATCAGAAACTGTCTTCGCATTATGATAAGATTTTCCCAAACGGCTCTGTATGCCTCATAGCGCTATCAGCATTGAATGATTTACTTCCACTTAATGTATTCAACAAAGCCTGACAAATTATAATCCCCATGCCTCTAGAGACATTATCACTCTTCATGCTTTAAGTTCTGCTGTTACTTATTGATCAGAGGAGGCACAAACACCAGTCTGCTTACTATTAAGCATGAGAGTGAATTAAATGTGTTTGACATAACATGCATTACCTGCAGCTGCTTGTATCATGACAAACTATCAGAGAACATGATCTGAAGTGATGTGTGATAACAGTGCAGGATTAAAGCTTTAAACAATCCTTGATGGAATTGTAGTCATTTCAAGTGATTATCTCAGCCCTAAGGTGATCTATAAGTATAAAATGAGCACAATCGTCTAAGGAAAATCTACAAAAGACACAATGGACAATTGGCTCAAAGCAACACTATCATCTATAAACGTTGGTGTCGTCTTATTAAAGTTTGTTCATCGCTTTTACTCCCTCAACTAATTAAAAATCCCCTCATGTCAGTCTTCTCTCTGCTAACACACACAGTGTGTGAATACAAATCAAATGTAAATATCTGAATCTTCATCTAGCAGGGGGACGGAAATCTCATATATTTATATAGAAGTCCAACTTGTCTTCTCTCCATTATTTCTTTCATTAGTGTGAAAAGAACACACACCAACAAAAAAAAAGTCTCTGGATTATTCATGAGTCAAAAAGCACATTTTGATTATACATATGAATCAACCTGTTTTATATTTCTAGTTTCCCTCTTTTTGCTCTTTTAATTTATTACAAAGGATTTTTAAGTTAAATCAAATTGGAATTTAGTGCATTGAACTTAAGTTTCCAAGTAGAGTAACAGGGCAAAGAAGTTGATATTATAAAGGATTTTAAGTTGAATGAACTTGGCAACTCAAAAGTTTAAGTTAAATTATTCACATTTTCATTACACATTACTTTTTAAGGCAACCGTTTCCTCAAATGTTTTATGTAAATTCAACTTATCTGGCCTTACAGTGTATAAAGAGGGTTTTATTTTAGAACAACAATGTTGATGCTGCTTTCATTCCAAGTTAGATTTATAAAAGATAAGTGAAATGTCACTCATTTTCCAATTTAATATTTATTACAACAAAAACATTAGAATAAAAGAAGGATTACAGAAAAGATTAAACATATTTGATTTTTATGGGATTTTCGGTATAATTGCTAAGCTTTCAGATGTGTAAAACCTGTTCCTGATGTCCATGTCACTTTTTGGAGTAGGTAGATAAAAGATGCTGCAGATAATCATCTGGTTTTTTTGAATCGCTCTTCGTCTGGTCCCTCCCCTGAGACCAATTTGCCATGGGAGACCCTATCAGGGGCTAATGCCCCAGACAACACAGCTCCCAGGATCATTGGGACACACAAACCTCTCCACCACGTTAAGGTTGCGATTCCAGGAGAGGTTTTTTTTTTAAATTTTGGGTGTTACTAAATTACAAGACATCTGCTAGTACATGTCTGACAGTCCTGTCATGTAATTCAGTAATGGGTCTGGCCGAATTGATTGTTTCCATTCATCCATCCATTCATTCATTATCTCTATAATCATTTTCTAATAACCATAATATAAGATGATATATAATAGAATATAGCATATTATATAATTTCTTTATGCCTCCCTGGTAGGCTAGTGGTTAAGGCGCTTTCTTTCTATTATATAATTACATAATGTATTGATAAGATACACCCAATGTACTCAAGTAAAAAATTTAAAATAAGACAGACCTCTGCTGTTCAATCTGGTGTCTGACACTTATAACTTATTCTCTGTCAATCCTAATAGGCTGTTTCACAATCACATAAACTTCAGACATGTAAAAACAACATCAATGTATCCTGCAAACATTTAAAGCAAGTTATTTACATCAGTATTAGTAATGACGTTAGTGTTAGTAATCGCAGCCGTCTTCCCAGTCACCTGTCAGAATAAAATCAAGTTATTTGGTTCCCTTTACACAAATTCTTTGAGGACAGTCAAGATGGGAGATTAAATGTAAAATTCTCCCAACTTAGGCTCCTACCTGC